AATTGTAAATCAAATAAATGAGAAAAAATATAAAAACATTATATTAATCACGTAGCCTAGAATTTAATTTTTGCTTGTATATATATCAAGGAAAAGACTTACATAGAAATGTTTCTGCATTATCCTTGTAGTTCAATATCCGATGACTGCAATGATTAACTTGAAAATCCAATATCTTCAAGCATTTCTATTATCTCTTCACGAGGTTGAGTTGAATAATGAAGTGACCCAACATACTTTGCTTCGTCCTATATAAAAGATAATTGACAATATATACAGTTAAAAAATTAAATGTGCAATATATATTATATATACATATAAAATATTTGTTATACAAAAAAGGTGTATCCAAAATTACCTCAGGCATCAAAATTAATTATCTTGACGTAATTTGAAATTAAAATGACAAATTTATCTATTTATGGAAATGTCGAATAATACAAGTACACATAAAACAAAATTGAATCTCATATCTTATATAAGCCACATCTATATAAGCATACATTCGGAGGATTTTAAAATAAAAATTTCACAATCACACAGAAATTATTCTACAATATAATCTTATATTATATTTCAATTTGCAATAATATTTACCTCCATATACGATGCATATCGCTCATCTTGCGCCATAATTTTCAAAACTTCAAAAAAGTTTTGACGAACTATATTTAATATCAGCATAGTTTTGCCAGGTCGAAGCATGCAATACATATTTTCAAACGTCTGGCTGTTGAATAACAAAGTTAATGATTGTAATTTTAAAAATATATAAATTTATTAGAATTATTTTTCGAAACACATAGTTATGCAAAAGTATATATTAGTAAAGTCGTATATTACAAAAATTCTTTCTTACAAAAATAATATTGTAATTTAAAATTATTAAATAAATTTTTTTACCGCAAGTCATGGCACCAATGCAAAGTGTAGAATGAGAATATATGATCAAATTTAGAAATATATTTCTCCGGCAAATTTTTCGTTTGAATATCCAACACTTCGAACTTGAGTCGTTCCTTATCACCGTACATTTTATTTGCGTATTCGGTCGTACTTGCATTAATATCTGTGCCTTTATATAATATACATATATAGTTTTAACATTAATTAATATTAATTTTCTTTACATTATGTGTTGTTTTTGTGCGTGCGTGAGCTGTCAAAATCTTTTACGATTCATTATTTTTTCTTACCGATCATTGTTGCTTTTGGATTAAGAGCCGTAAGAAGAATATCCTTCGTTATATCTCCAGGTCCACAACCAACATCCATACATTTTCCAGTAATATATTTAAGTTCTTTGGCAAACTCGTTGACAATAAGTGATACACTTTCTTTGTTCGCTTTAGTAAATAAAGCGTATCGCGCTGCTTGCATCATGATTTTATGATAATGTTCAAGTATATAACTAGAATTTATAAAAACTTGAACTCAGAACGGTTTTGGTTCTTTTTTGGACTATTTTTTTCATCTTATCATATAATATAATACAATAAAATATTCGGAATGATGGACAAAACAACACTCAATAGAATAAGCTGAGATGGTTTAAAGTATAGGCGGATAAACGATTGTGGACAAAATAGATATATATAAGGAGACCGGATTAATTAGTCAGGAAAGAATCCGGATCAAATAAGGAATTGAAATTAGAGTATAATATATTTATTGCGAACTCAAGGTGCCTCTTGTCGTCCAAATGCTAAATGTTCCCTTGTCTCTTCGCCGTCGCTCCGACCTCGGCGGTCCTCGATCGTAAGAGAGAGTGTGTCCAAAAAGAGAGCGTTCTGTGTATGTCTACCAAAAATCGCTGATACTTATATCGCTCCTAATTTCCCTAATAATCCCTTCCTATCGTACTTGAGCCAATCGCTAAGCGACAACTAACCCGTGCTCTGGTTTGTTTTCGAACGGTCGCATCTGTTATTTTCTACACGGATCAAATCTCTTATTATTCGCACACGGCAACATAATATAAATAAATAATCGAACACGAGGACGAGACGACAAGGCGACAATAATATGATGGCGTGATACATACTCTCAAAAATAATCGCACGCCTACAAAAGAAAGAAAATATTTTGAATAAATAAAGATGAGTCATTAATTACACACAGTTTTAAAATAACCAAATTACCGGAAATATGTGAATTGTTAGATGTTGCTGGTGAAATTGTCGATGAAATCTAAGAATTTATCGAGCTACTTATAGTTCCTGCGAAAAATTACATAGAGAGCAGATATATATATTATGTAAAATCATTGTTTTTGAATAAAAAGCATCTTTATACGAATGTACTGAAGTGTGTGTGTGTGTTTGTGTAAAATATATATACACAGAATAAGAAATAATACAAGATATTAGCATTAAAAAAACGGTTGCGTCAACAGAACAGTGTCGTGAGCTTTTTAAAGAGACATTTTTTAAAATTAGAATTTAAAGAGAAATATATATATTATAAAAAGATAAGTAATGTAATTTGTGGTATTAGATATTAAATTGATATAATAAAGTAAAATATAAATTAATAATAATTTGTCTAAACACTTATTATTTCAAGTACTATAGCCAATCAAGATTAGATGATTACATGATCAGTTGTCGCCTCTCTCTTCTTGAGGTTCTCTAGATTAAACAACAAATCAACGTCGTTTCAACCATCATGCTTCGCTGCGAATACTATATACAGTTTTTAATTAGAAATAAAATTTGTTTTTAAACATATACCGCGATAGAGTATTATTGAAACATTTTTTATATATTTTATTGAATTTCTTTGTTATATATTTTTATTGTGTGTTGGAATTACATCGCAAATTTTTAATTTAACTTAATTACGCAAAATTTTTATTGTTAATTACGCAATTTGTGTGTATTCCCTTGTAGAAATTTAGTAACACCAATTAATCACTTATTTCGAGTGCTTGAAATACTGATATACAGTAATTTAAGTACTCAAAATAAGTGATTGAGTACTCGAAATAAGTGATAAATTGGCGTTACTATATAGTGATAAATTTCTATAAGAGTGCCGAATAGAGACTGAGAAGTCCGGGATTTGTTCAAGGAATTAACACTCGTTTAGTTTGAGTAACGTATTTTATATAAAACTTCTCCTTAGAAAGAGTTTCTTACAAATGTCTTCGATGCTTCGCTGATGTACAATTGTAGCTACACTTGCCTTTTTTCGATGTAAGTTACACTTATGACTATATCACCCCAAGTAGAACAGAAATCCAAAAAAATATCATTTTGACATCATATTGATCAAATTTGGGACGTGGATACCATCACACGTCTGGTTACGTTTACTGTCAGTTTCTCAATTGAACTCTCGAGTGTTTCTGATGGGTCCTTTTTATATCTCTCAATTAGGTTGCGAGGTCTATAGGTATAGGTCTATAAATCTATATAGGTATAGGGATTAGTGCATGCGAAAGAGGTTAACGGAACGTTCGTGTGTATTTTTGGAAATTTCTTAATGCCTCGTTTTCGAATTTCGCAGTCGTTGCAAACAATGCATTTTGTTCAAGAACAAGTATACGTCTTGCGACATTTATTAATATATGATTTTACATTAAGAATATATAATAATTATATAGTTATAAAAGTTTCAGATAAAAGTTGTTGGATTTTGAATGAGACATCCGATGGTGACTCTGACCACCGGTGGATGCGTGGGTAGAAGTGTGTAAAACTTGAAAAAAACCACCTAGTAGCCTTCTCCAATAAATTTGCAAATTTTGCTACAGATTTCGTACAAATCGGTCAATAAATGTGTAAGTGCGTGGATAAGTGGAAACTTAAAAATACCACATAGTAGCGATATATATAAGCACATATAGTAGTGATATATAATAAGTATCGTCTGTCTGTCTGACCGTGAACCACTTCCACATTTGTAGACCGCTTTCTTCGAAATTGGTACCAAAATGTTGCAAATTTTTCAGGGATCGCTACTATCGTAATTTTTTTAAGTTTTCACCCACCCACGCACTTACACTATTATTGACCGATTTGTATGAAATCTGTACCAAAATGTTGCAAATTTATATACATATATATATATATATATACACACACACATATTTATTATATATTAAATTTATATTCAACCGAGTTCAATCAGATGCTTAATTTAATACAATAGAAAAGATAATATAGAAATAGAAAAATGATACAGAAATGTGATATAGAAATGATATATTGAAATGAAAATATAAAGATGTAATCATTTGTTTGCCCGAATAATTAAATCTAATTATCATCAACTGTTATTTATCAATTTATTATAAGTTCTTACGATACAATACAAACATGTATCACATTGTGATAATTACAATATTAAATAAAACTTTAATAGAATATATAATCAATCTTATGAATATATTTACAAATACATTGTTTATATACAATATAAACATATATACATTATTTAAAATTATTTATTATTATATATTATTATATAATATTATATATTATTTAAAATTGTCTTTAATTATTTGTCAGACAAGCAACAAGATGTTATATAAATAAGATAACATCTTTTACTCATAGAAAACATTGTTTTTAAAGTTTAACATAATTATATATTGTCATCAGCACCGGTTGAACGATTATTTATTATTTGTATTTATATTATCATTGTAATTAAATTTTAGTATCACGCAGAAATAGTTTGAGTGACCATAGCTTTAAGACTATTCATGATATGTTAAGACGAATAAAAAGTTGTAAAAATATGAATAAATACAAGATTTATTTAACATAATTTGTAATACATATTACTATTTGTTATTATGATATAATATAATTTAAAAGTATTTTATATGTATCTTTGATATACTTTAAAGTATTTGAATGTCTGTGCCTGTACCGCGAAATACATTTTAAGTGTATCTTATACTTATCACTATCTATATATATTTTGTACTATATATATTATTACTATTAATATATATTATTACTATACTATTAATTTTAATATTACTTTTTTAACATTATTCAATCGTTTAATAAGAATTAAGAGAGTAAAAGGGGAAAAAATAGAAAAGAGATATATATGTTATACAACTATGAAACATTACATCTATACAACTATGAAACATTCTTTCGTGCATAAACTATTAGTAAAGAATATAGAGCAGGAATATCCTCTTCCTTTTCATTATATAACTTAAAATTACCTTGACTTTTTTTATAGTCTTTGATTTTTCTTTCCGTAAATCTATGTCTTAACTCATTCTTAAATTCCTCTCTTATATTATGCGGCATTTTGTTCAAAAATTCATAAGTATGCTGTGAAGTAACCATGGCTATCGAAATAAAAAATATAATTAACTTAAAATTATAATTCAAGTAAATGAGAAAAAATAATAATATTGAAAAATATGCTAATTAATCAATTAGTCTAGAATTTAATTTTTGCATGCACATATTAAAGAAAATATACTTACATAGAAACTTTTCTGTATTCCTACAGTTGTCCATCTCTTGATGACTGCTATAGAGAAATTGAAATCCGATATCTTCAAGTATTTCCTTTAACTCTTCGTGAGGTCGAATCGAATAATGAAGTGACCCAACATACTTCTGTTTATCCTGTATAAAGATAATTGATAATAATTTATAGTAAAAAATGCAATATGCAATGTGTATACACATATAATATTTTATTTTTATATAAAGATTTATTTATATTTATATAATAAAGAAAATTTCATAAATACTGCAGTCTGTTATATTTGATATCGATATATAGTCTCGCAAATAAAACAGAAAGTTGCATTCAAAATTAAATGTTGAATAATATATGTAAGTATGTAAAACAAGTATGTAAGTATGTAAAATAACTGAATTTTATATATGTTAATCATTATCATGTTAATCGTTATTATATTAATTATAATCATATATTAATTAATTTATGAGTGTGCACTCAGTGGATTTTAACTATGGTAAAAATTAAAATTTCATAATCACGCGGAAATTATTCTGCAATCTAATCTTATATTATATTTTGTACTTACCTCCATATACGGTGAAAATCGCGCATCTTGTGCCATAATCTCCACAGCTTCAAACAAGCCTGGGCAATGCGTTACGGTTGATATAAGCATAGATTTACCAGGTTGAAGCATACGATAAATATTCTCACATGCTTGGCTGTTAAACAACAAGATGTTAATTATAATTTAAAACATATTAAAACAACACAAACGCTCGCACATAACGCGCGTCATTTCTCGATTTTATATTAAAAAGATTGATATTTTAAACCCTTGTAGAAATTTATTACTAGTAACGCCACACAATTAATCATTTATTTCGAGTACTTGAAATACTGATATACAGTAATTTTTAAGTACTCGAAATAAGTAATTAAGTACTCGAAATAACTGATAAATTGGCGTTACTAGTGATAAATTTTTATAAGGGAAATATAATATAAAGTTTAAACTCCATTAACTTTGGACAAATATCAGTTAAATAAAGTGTTAATTTGGTAATTAAATTTTTAAATAATAATACGTTTTAAAAATTGAAATACTAAAATATTTTTTAAATAATATATAATTATTTAAACTCGATTAATATAATTAATTAATGAAAGGCTCGTATAAATTAACACAATTAAAAAAATCAAATATAGTAGGCCAACTAAACGAGCAAATAAATAAGGTGTAAAAATTTATTAATAGTTAGATAATTAAAATAACATTTCGTTACAGAAACGATATAAATTGTAAATGTCCTGGACATTTGTTATTCAGACTTCGCAACACACACTTGAAATATCGGGAAAAAGGACTTGTTAAAACGACAATCATGTTTAAATGTCGCATAACTTGGCATCTCAGACCAACCGCCTTGCATATCTATTGGTCAACAGCGAAGAATCGTTTTAATTTTATATTTTAATATTTAACTAACTTTGTATTTTTAACATTTAACTTTGTATTTTAATATTTAACTTTTATGTATTGATAAAGACTGTAGTGCAGTCGAAACGTTTACAATTTATATCGTTTCTGTAACGAAATGTTATTTTAATTATCTAACTATTAATAAATTTTTACACCTTATTTATTTGCTCGTTTAGTTGGCCTACTATATTTGATTTTTTTAATCGATTAATATATTTCTTGACAGTTATCAGCTGATTTTGGAATTAAAATATTAATTGCGTCAAAGGTATTATAACATTTAATTTTTTAAATATATTAATTATTTCATTTTAATATATATATGATCATTACATTATCAAATTATAGCAAATATGTTAAAAAAATAAAATAGTAATAACATGTTATAACATCTTATTTTCGATTAATATTTTGTTGACAGAAATCAGCTGATAACTGTCAAAAATATTAATTATAATAAATTTAAAATATTAGAATATGTATTTATAACATATTGTTTAGAACTTTATATATCCGCGAATATTTTTTAATCCTATGTCCTAACTACGTAGGATTTATCATTTCAAAAATAATTTTTAATGTGGTTTCTCGTATTTATCTCGAAAAAGGCGCGTCTTAGGGCAAAAGTACAAAGAGCCATTCGGCCTCGAGATTTTCGAGAGAGCTTCGAGATTAATGTGTAGTTTTCACCGATGTGATAATTCACACTTAGTGTGGCGTAAAATAAATTTTAAGTCTATGAACATTTTATGCAAAAGTTTTTTCCTATACAATACGAAAAGTATTAATATTATGTTTATTTAATAATTGTTTTTCTTACCGAATGTCATGGCACCAATGCAAAGTGTGAAATGAGAATATGTGATCAAATTTTGAAATATATTTTTGGGCAAGTTTTTCGTTTGAATATCCAACACTTCGAATTTGAGTCGTTCCTCGTCACCGTACATTTTATTTGCGTATCCGATCATATTTGTCATAATATCTGTGCCTTTATAATATATAGTTGTTATATTAACTACTATTAATTATCTAATTAGTAATTTAGTTATTTATCTAGTTATTATATATTAATTATATATCTAATTAATTATATTAACTAATAATTTATTATTTTTTTACCAATCATTGTTGCTTTTGGATTAAGAGCCGCAAGAAGAATATTTTTCGTTATATCTCCAGGTCCACAACCAACATCCATACATTTTCCAGATATATTTTGTAGCTCTTTGTCAAATTTGTCGATTATAAGTGATACATTGTTTTTGACAATATTATTATATGAAGCGTACTGCGCGGCTGCTGTCATTTTATGATAATATTCAAGTACCTATAGAATATATAAAAGATTGAAGAAAGTGAGCTGTAATAAGAGTCGATGCGTCAGAATTTTAATGCACTTTGTTATAAAACCACCCTCATTTTTTGTGCACAGAGTACAAGCAAGCAGCGCCGAAATTTGGAAACAGGCTTCGACAGACCCAGCGGTGGGTGAACGTTAAAAGATCGACACAGGAAAAAAATTAAATTTTAATAAATATTGTAAAATTCATTATTAATTCATTTATTTTATATATATTTTGAAAGAAAAATTCGAAAAAATCCGTTTGATATATTTATTTGATCTAACATTCAATTTAATCAAGTCTTTATTATGAAAGCGTTTACAATGAAAGTGAGCACAATATAATTGTGTAATTAACCATAAGAATTTTGCGTAATTAATTTAAATTAATAAATTCACGTATTTATTCTGACGCACACGCTCTTTAATCAACTTTTTCTTCAATTTATTACTATTAGTGTATTAGAGCTTCTTTTCTTTATCACAATTAAAATATATAATTATATATATAATAGAATATTACTATTACATTGTACCTTATTTTATACATAAAATTATATTAGAAAACATATTATCTTATATAAATATTAAGATATATTTATATTATCTTAATATTAAGATATTTATATAAGATAATATAAATAGTAAGATATTATATAAATAGTAGATCTCTTATTTAAAGAATTTATAGTAAAGAATTGTTACCAGTAAACTTACCTCTGTCGCAATTGGGATGAAAATACTAAGAGAACTTGTGAGAACGTGAGACTACGTAAAAAGTGACGCCAAAATCAGACCAAAAATCACTTATTGTTTTGTCACCCTCGAAGATATATAAATATTATTTTTTCGTAATATTTATCTCACAATATTTTTTGGAGGAAAAAGGAGTACACAAAATGAGCAATTATAAAATATTTATAATTTGTTTGTAAACTTAGTGGAAATGTTTCTTTTCGTAAATTACTTTATATAACAGTGTTTTATATAAGATTTAGATTTGCAAAAGGCTGAATTTTAAACTTAAGTAAAAATCTTTATAAAAGATAGATGACTTACATCTATAGATTTAAATTTGACTGTTCAATGTGTCATAGACTATCTTTGCACTTTGTTATATTATTCACGACTCTTATATAGCTATGATATATCTATAAATAACTATATATAATTATACTAGTATAATTATAATTATTCTAAAAAAAATTGACATCATAAATATATGTTATTGCTTTTCTTGAGACAAATATTATGTTATTCTAATGTAACTTACGTAACTATTTATCTTTTCTGTTATAATATTATTAAAATTTTATGACAAAAAGTTGAATATGATATAAAAATATTTTATGCAATACTTTACGGTTATACATATAATTATAATTTTTTTATAAAAAAAATGTCGTAATACCTCTTATATTTAAAGAATTTATAGTAAAGAATTATTACGAGTAAACTTATCTCTGTCGCGATTGGTATGAAAATACAAAGAGAACTTGTAAGAACGTGAGATTACGTAAAGAGTGACGCCAAAAACAGACCAAAAATCGTCTGTTTCGTCGTTTAAGTCTGACTTAAAGTTGGTGCTTCGATATTTATATATATAAGTCTAAACGATATTTATATATAAGTCATTAATCATCGGAAGTCAGATTGAGCTTACTTTTTATCTTCAAGATATGATAGGTCAAAGTCTGATATATGTAGTTCATTGCTTTGTCCATTGTTTCAGTAAGATAACTATTGAAGTGTTCTCATTGTGCTTCAATAAGATAACTATTCATATTGTTACTATATAACAAAATCTATTTATATTATATATAAGTCATTAATCCTGGAAAGTCAGATTGAGCCCACTCTTTATCTTCAAGATATAATAGGTTTGAATTATGCAGTTAATTGCTTTATCTACTGCTTCAGTAAGATCCCAGCAAATACAGTATATAAATGTTATATACTTAAACATGTTACATGTAACGTATATGTTAGTTGTAATTTCCCACTCATAGATGTAACATTTTTAATATTACATATATTACATTGTAGTTATATTGTCATTATATCCCAAGATAGCACTGACTTATCAATATATCAATGTTTGCTGGGGATCTACATGCAAAAGGTGCAATAAAGTCATGATATACTTATGTCATGAAGAATAAGATCTTACGGTGGTCATACTCTTTGAATCCGTTAATTCCTATAGATAGCGCAAAGTGGATTGCATGAAAGTGACTACGGGATGTACGATGCAATCGAGAATAATAATTATTGGCGAGAAAATATCTTGAAATTAATTTGCAATCCACTCTGGGCTACCTATCGGAATTAACGAAGTAAGAGAGTATACAAATTTTGATCCATCATATCTTGGAGATAAAGACTGGGCTTAAGATAAACTTTCGGAGGATTAATGTCTTGTATAATTTTTATATATTTTATATAATTTTTTCTTATATAATTTTTTTATATAACTATCGTTTAGCACGAGTCGGATTTCAAGAATGGCGAAACAGGCGATTTTTGGCCTCACTCTTTATATATTTTCTAACTATATATACCTTGAATCATTTTTATGAAGCACTTATCGAGATAATAAATTTATTTTAAGTTAAAATAAGTGTAAAACAACGAATCATGCAAAAAAAACGAGTAATAATTGTTACCAGACATTCGAGTAAACTTTCCTTTGTCAGAATAATTGGAATAAAAATATAAAGGAATTAGACAAACGTAAGAGATGTCAAGCCAAACCCCTATTTGTATATATTTACTGATCTTATATATATTTAATCAATCAAATTGTTATACACATTATTAAAAAGATTTTTTATTTTTATAGTATGGCTCAATAATTATGCTCAGTAGACTTGTCATTTGACATATATAAAAATCGATATATAACATATTAATCATTTATTTGATCGAACTACAAAAAAGCATTTTTAAAACGATTTTTTATTCGCAGAATATTAATAGTATTTAGTAAACTTACCTCCTAACGTGGATATAAAAATCGATTTATATACACAAATACTATTTGTTCGATCGAATAATTATTTGTAATTATCATTAATTATTAGTCATAGAATATATATTAATAACTTCTGTATGCACGTGTGCTAAATATTTTACAATATGTATTTTGGAACCTGAAAATTTAATATAAATTTTTTCTTTTACATTTGAAAAACATGATCGAAAAAAAATCGAATCATAACAATACAATACACGTTCTAAAGGATAAGAAAATGAGTGAGACTTTTGATAAAATTTTGATTATCAATAAAAATTATTTATGTACAGATATTAAATAATTGAGATATATTCCAACGGATTACGATTAAAGACTTATATAAAGTATAACTAAAAAATATGATTAAAAAGTATAATTATAAGTTTAATCACGAGGATTCAATAACATTTTTTTCTAATGCTAATTTATATGCTAATTCTAATTTATATGTAATTTTATATAACGCATTTTCTCTTAGAATTGATGCAAATTGATTATAATTAATAATATTGAATATATATATATATATATATATATATATATTCTTAATTATAGTATTGATATATTGAATATTGATATATTGAAATGAAAATATAAAGATGTAACCATTTGTTTGCCCGAAAAATTAAGTCTAATTATCATCAACTTATTATTTATCAATTTATTATAAGTTCTAAGATAAAATACAAACATGCATCACATAGTGATAATTATTAAATAATATGATTTAATAGAATAGAATATAGATATAATTAATCTTATGAATATATTTGCAAATACATTGTTTGTATACAATAAAAACATATATACATGGTATTATTTAATATTGCCTTTACCATAATTATTTGTCAGACAAGCAAAAAGATATAACATAAATAAAATAGCACCTTTTACTCATATAAAACATTGCTTTTAAAGTTTAACATAATTATATATTGTCATCAATACCGGTTGAGCAATTATTTATTGTTTGTATTTCTATTATCATTGTGATTAAATTTTAGTATCACGCAGAAATAGTTTGAGTGACGATAGCTTTAAGACTATTTCATACATATTTAGAAATACATTTTAAATATATCTTATGCCTATCACTATCTATATACGTTTTGTATTATATATATATATATATATATATATATATTTGTATAAAAAAATAAAATATAAAATATGTAGTTAATGTACTTTGCAATTTTGTGTTAACATTAATTTTGATATTATTTTTTTAACATTATTCAATCGTTTAATAAGAAGAGAGTAAACAGGTAAAGCAAATAGAAACGAGAAACAACTGTTTTTAATCATGAAGAGATATCTATACCACTATGAAACTTTTTTTGTGCATAAACTATCAGTACAGAATATAAAGCAGGAATATCCGCCTCATCCTTTTCATTATATAACTTAAAATTATCTTGACTTTCTTTATAGTTTTTGATATTTTTTTTCGTAAATTTATATCTTAACTCATTCTTAAATTCTTCTCTTATATTATGCGGCATTTTATCCAAAAATTCATAAGTATACTGTGATGTAACCATGGCTATCGAAATAAAAAGTATGATTAACATAGAATTATAATTCAAATAAATGAGAAAAATAATAATATTGAAAAATATGCTAATTAATCAATTAGTCTAGAATTTAATTTTTGCATGCATATATCAAGGAAAATACTTACATAGAAACTTTTCTGTATTCCTACAGTACATATCTTGATGACTGATATAGTGAACTTGAAATCCGATATCTTCAAGTATTTCCTTTAACTCTTCGTGAGGTCGGGTCGAATAATGAAGTGACCCAACATACTTCTGTTTATTCTGTATAAAGATAATTGATAATAATTTATAGTAAAAAGTGCAATATGCAAGGTGTATACACATATAATATTTTATTTTTATATAAAGATTTATTTATATTTATGTAATAAAGAAAATTTCATAAATACTGAAGTCTGTTATATTTGATATCGATAGCCTCGCAAATAAAACAGAAAGTTGCATTCAAAATTAAATGTTGAATAATATATGTAAGTATGTAAAACAAGTATGTAAGTATGTAAAATAACTAAATTTTATATATGTTAATCATTATCATGTTAATCGTTATTATATTAATCATAATCATATATTAATTAATTTATGAGTGTGCACTCAGTGGATTTTAACTATGGTAAAAATTAAAATTTCATAATTACGCGGAAATTATTCTGCAATCTAATTTTATATTATATTTTGTACTCACCTCCATATACGGTGAAAATCGCGCATCTTGTGCCATAATCTCCACAGCTTCAAACAAGCCTGGGCAATGCGTTACGGTTGATATAAGCATAGATTTACCAGGTTGAAGCATACGATAAATATTCTCATATGCTTGGCTGTTAAAGAACAAGATGTTAATTAAAATTTAAAAAAATATTAAAACAACACAAACGCTCGCGTAACGTGCGCCACTCCTTAATTTTATTTTAAAAGATTGATATTTAAAAATATAATATAAAGTTTAAACTCCATTAACTTTGGACAAAAATCAGTTAAATGAAGTGTTAATTTGGTAATTAAATTTTTAAAAAATAATACGTTGTAAAAATTAAAATAATAAAATATATTTTAAATAATATAATTATTCAAACTTGATTAATATATTTCTTGACAATTGTCAGCTGATTTTGGAATTAAAATATTAATTGCGTTAAAGATATTATAACATTTAATTTTTTAAATATATTATTTTATTTTAATATATTATCATTACATTAGCATATTGCTAATGTAATGCTTTAATCAGCCGATTTTGTCAAGAAATATTAATAAAGAGTTAATTTGCTATTTAAATTTTGAGATTTTAGTATTGTTAAAAATTAAAATAGTAATAACATGTTATAATACCTTTTCTTTGATTAATATTTTGTTGACAGAAATCAGCTGATAACTGTCAAAAACATTAATTATAATAAGTTTAGAATATTAGAATATGTATTCATAACATGTTGATTAGAACTTTATCGGCGAATATTTTTTAATCTTATCTCGAAAAAGGCGCGTCTTAGGGCAAAGGTGCAAAAAGCCATTCGGCCTCGAGATTTTTCGAGAGAGCTTCGAGATCAATGTGTAGTTTTCACCGATGTGATAATTCACACTTAGCGTAGAATAAATTTTAAGTCTATGAACATTATAAGCAAAAGTTTTTTCCTATACAATACGAAAAGTATTAATATTATGCTTATTTAATAATTGTTTTTCTTACCGAATGTTATGGCACCAATGCAAAGTGTGAAATGAGAATATGTGATCAAATTTTGAAATATATTTCTCGGGCAAATTTTTCCTTTGAATATCCAACACTTCGAATTTGAGTCGTTCTTCGTCACCGTACATTTTATTTGCGTATCCGATCATATTTGTCATAATATCTGTGCCTTTATATAATATATATATAGTTTTAACATTAATTAGTATTAATTTTCATCACATTATGTGTTATTTTTGTGCGTGCGTGAGCTGTCAAAATCTTTTACGATTTATTATTTTTCTTACCGATCATTGTTGCTTTTGGATTAAGAGCCGCAAGAAGAATATTCTTTGTTACATCTCCAGGTCCACAACCAACATCCATACATTTTCCAGATATATCTTTTAGTTCTTTGGCAAATTTGTCGATTACAAGTGATACATTGCTTTTCATGACATTATTACATACGTACTGCGCGGCTACTTCCATTTTATGATAATGTTCAAGTAACTATAATATATAAAATTAATAAAACATGAAAAGTAGACCAAATATACGAGCCAAAATAATTTAGATGTAAGAATAATTAAAAATTATTTATTCATAATATAAATGTAGACGTTTCGATCTTACTAGGTCTTTATCAATACAATCAACCGCAAGTATAAAATTATAAAATATAATAAAGAAATTTAAATATAATCTCGCAAGCTATATAAAGACAAAACTTCGATTATCATTTGATTTAATTACAATGATTGAAACAATTATTCTTAGATGTCTTATGTTTAACACCATCTCTCAATTAAATGCACGGAGTCCAAATTGGTCGTTGGACAGCGCGAACAGTCTATTCCGGCATCTTCACGAAATGACTCCCATTTATTTAAGCTCTTTTTTTCCCACAAAATAGATATATTAAAAGGATTCTAATGAAGAACACTCCGAAAAATATAAATTAGCAATAACTTACAAATTGATGTTATGTGTTGGTTGTTGCGACTCTGCAATATCAAGGAATAATATGTGCCATTATTATATCGTAGCCTGTTTATATAGTTAATAGTGTTGTCAATAGTTAAAGGTTAATTTGTTTTTTTTTTTTTTTTTTTTTTTTTTTTAATTAAAAATGTGTGTCAGATAATTCTTCTAAAATGTCAAAATAACAGCTTTCAAGAGATTCGATGTCTTTCTTTAAATTTATACTATTTTTATGTTCTTTTATGTATAACATTCCAGAAATAAGTCTTTTATTATAGTTGATGATCTAATATTTCAGTCCCTTCCCAGTCAAAAGTGTGTTCACACGTCGGAATTTGGAAACAGGCTCTGACAGACCCAGCGGTGGGTAAACGTTAAAAAATCGACGCAGGAAAAATTAAATTTTAATAAATATTGTGAAATTCATCATTAATTCATTTATTTTATATATATTTTGAAAAAAATTCGAAAAAATCCGCCCAACATTTTTATTTGATCTAACATTCAATGTCTTTATTATAAAAGTGTTTATAATGAAAGTGAGCACACAATATAATGGTGTAATGTACAATAAGAATTTTGCGTAATTAATTTAAATTAATAAATTAAGACTTTAACAAGGCTCTGTAATATAAATATAAATATAAATTTAAAGTATCAAACAGGCAATAAGAGCCAAATCGCGGATGACAGTGCGTTATCCCAACGAAACTAAATTTTTTGTTAGAATTAAAAACCTGTGCACAAGGCATCAAATTTTTACTTGGTCACGGCCAAGATTTAAAATTGGAATAATTTCTACAAGAGATTTAATTCCATACATCCCCTGTTCTCCCCTAAGGAAATAATCCCTTGTAGAGATTATTCCAATTTTAAATCTTGGCCGTGACCAAGTAAAAATTTGGTGCCTTGTGCACAGGTTTTTAATTCTAACGAAAAATTTAGTTTCGTTAAGATAACGTACTGTCATCCGCGATTTGGCTCTTATTGCCTGTTTGACACTTTAAATTTATATTTATAATTAAATCAATAAATTTGCGTTTTAATTCCAACGCACAGGCTCTTTAATCAGCTTTTTTTCAATTTTTTACTATTAGTATATTAGAGTTTCTTTTCTTTATCACAATTAAAATATATAATTATAATAGAATATTGCTATAAGATAATATAAATATCAAGATATATAAATATTATTTTTTTGCAATATTTAGCTCACAATACTTTATTTAGAGAAAAGGAGTACACAAAGTAAACAATTATAAAATATTTATAATCTGTTTGTAAAATTAGTGAAAAGAATTCTTTTTTGTAAATAACTTTGTATGACAGCATTTTATACAAGATTTAGATTTGCTAAAGACTGAATTTTAAACTTAAGTAAAAATCTATATGAAACGTAGATGATACTTACATCTGTAGATTTAAACTTGACTTTTCAACGTGTTATAGACTATCTTTGCACTCTAAGAGAACTTGTAAGCAGGAGAGACTACTTGAAGTGCAACTTGAATTTGGTACTCCGATATTTATATATATAAGTCAAAACGATGTTTATATATAAGTTATTCCTTTGATAGTCAGATCGATCCCGCTCTTTATCTTCAAAATATGATGGGTCAAAGTTTGCATACATGAAGAATAAGATCTTACAGTGGTCATACTCTCTTAATCCGTTAATTTCCATAGATAACACAAATGCGATAAGGTCATACTCTCTTAATCCGTTAGTTTTCATAAATAGTGTCATTTTTTATAGATAGCGCAGAGTGGATTGCATGAAAGTGACTACGGGATCTACGATGTAATCGAGAATGATAATTATTGGCGAGAAAATATCTTGAAATTAATTTGCAATTCACTCTGGGCTATCTATCGGAATTAATGAATTAAGAGAGTATGCAAATTTTGATCCATCATATCTTAGAGATAAAGACTGGGCTCAAGCTGAAAGATAAACTTTCGGAGGATTAATCTCTTGTATAATTTTTATATGTTTTATATAATTTTTTCTTATATAATTTTTTTATATAACTATCGTTTAGCACGATCTTGTATAATTTTTATATGTTTTATATAATTTTTTCTTATATAATTTTTTTATATAACTATCGTTTAGCACGAATCGGATTTCAAGAATGGCGAAACAGGTGATTTTTGGCCTTACTCTTTATATATCTTCTAATTATATATATCTTGAATCATTTTTATAAAGCACTTATCGAGATAATAAATTTATTTTAAGTTAAAATAAGTGCAAAACAACGAATCATGCAAAAAAAAACGAGTAATAATTGTTACCAGTCATTCGAGTAAACTTTCCTTTGTCAGAATAATTGGAATAAAAATGTAAAAGAGATTAGAAGAACGTAAGAGATATCAAGCCAAACCCCCATCTGTATATATTTATTAATCTTATATATATTTAATCAATCAAATTGTTATACACATTATTAAAAAGATTTTTATTTATATAGTATGGCTCAATAATTATGCTCAGTAGACTTGTCATTTGACATTAAAAACAAATATATATCGCTGAACTTGTGCATATTAAACAACTTATGATGCGACAACATTTAAGATGTTGGAAAGATTCCGTACAATTTCTTCGTTTCTATGCGAGAAATAGTTGTTGTCAACCGCATTATAATATATGTTGTTCTTCAAAGAAAGTCACGTATGACAAGATCTCTCATTTCCAACTGCCACGGCAGTTTTTAATTCTCGACTCATATTAACGAAACATTATTAATTTCATGATATAGTAAATTGATTTGAATGGAATTTTTACTGAAGAAGGCTGCGTGCAGTCAAAACGTTTATTTGTAATATATATGGAATAAATCGTTTATTTTATATTACCTTAATAAGTGCTCTTTGTGTTGGTCTTTAAATAAGTTATTTGTTGTTAACAATATACGAGCGAATTATAATTATTATTTGATATTGTCGATATATAACATATTAATTATTTATTTGATCGAACTACAAAAAAAGCATTTGTATAACGATTTTTTATTTGCAGAATATTTATAGTATTTAGTAACTTCCCAATGTGAATATAAAAATCGATTTAAATACATAAATATTATTTGTTCGATCGAATAATTATTTGTAATTATTATTAATTATAGTCAAATTGCGTCAATTCTAAGAGAAAATGCGTCATATAAAATTACATATAACTTAGAATTAGCATATAAATTAGCATTAGAAAAATATGTTATTGAATCCTCGTGATTAAACTTAATTATACTTTTTAATTATACTTAATTATACTTTATATAAGTCTTTAATCGTAATCCGTTGGAATATATCTCAAGTATTTAATATCTGTACATAAATAATTTTTATCAATAATCAAAATTTTATCAAAAGTGTCACTCATTTCTCCTTTTCCACGTATATTCGATTTTTTATTATGTTTTTTAAATGTAAGAGGAAAACTTTATATTAAATTTTTAGATTACAAAATATATATTGTAAAATATTTAGCACACATGTATACAGAAGTTATTAATATATATTCAATGATTTAAATAAGAAATAAAATAATATTGATATTTTTTTATTTCACGATTTTAATGGATTATGAATGTCAAAGAATATGTTTTATTTTAAGAAGATATAGTATATATATATATAAAAATTAAATGGACTACAAATATCAATAAAAAACAAATATACATAAATTTGTAACTAATATAATAATACATACAGATAATTCTCTGCATTTATTATTAAAATATCAATATACTGTAAATATTAATAATATTCACATAATTTATTAAATATGTATATTATTCACATATGTATATACATAAATGTAGGTATAAATAATAATTATACATATGTGCTATTAATACATAATATATTTCGGCAACGCATTATGAATAGCATGCTATATTCAACTTTGTCATTTCCTCACCGATACTTCTTTTTCTACACGCCAATGCTATCGATATCGGAAAACTATGTTCTATGGTAAAATTGATTAATAAGTTATTAACTTCTACAGTTACTGCGCATAATTATATATATATGGCGACGATAAATCTCGAAATGCATTTTTCGTGTAATAAGTATATTCATTAAATCGATTAATGAATAAAAATCTGTAAATAAATTAAAATATTCTTGTAAGATTTAATATTGTACGTGCATATATACCTTAATATTATAGTACGTAAAATATCTCGATAACAAATTGTGAATTGTATGGTATTCGGGCTTGATGTTTTCAACAAGCGTGTTATTGCTGTCATTCGCGCGCCAACTCTCGAGCAGTAAAGACGTCAAGTGCTAAATGCTTTTGTATATTGTCATATTTTTTTTTCAATATGTAATTTCGACTAGTATCGAATCGAGACGTATTGTAATGGCCTAACGTTATAATCTAAATAAGAACTTCAAAATTAAAAAAAAATTAATTATTGTTATGAATAATTAAAACTTATTAAAAAATGGAAGAGCGCGTTCAAAAATATTCGAACACATTAATAAAATGATCCTTCAAAGGATAATAAGAAATATAAAAAAAGAACACGTGACATCCCATACAGCACAAAATATTTTTAAAATCTTTTAAAAATATTTTATGCTGTATAGTATGCATAATAAAAAATATTTTTAAAATCTTTTAAAAATATTTCTTAAAATAATTCTCAAAAATATTTTTTAAATAATTAAAGAGTAACAGATGGGCAAAGAGTACATACACGATCTTAGTGTAAAGTAGTAATAAAATAATAACAGCAATCAATTGTCAAACGTTTCGGTTATTATTTAACCATCTTCAGTGACAAACTTTAGAATAACAGCGATATCAGTCAAATAACAACGATCTATCTCGACATATCAAACGGAATTCCGTTTGACAATTGATTGCTGTTATTACTTTATTACTACTTTACACTAAGATCGTGTACGTGCTCTTTGCCCATCTGTTACTCTTTAATTATTTTTTAAATGTTTCTATGTCCGCTTTTTCATGTTTAAGAAATATTTTCAGAAATATTTTTGAATATAGATTTAAACTAATATTTTGAAAATATGTATTAAATATTTAAGAAAATATTGTCTGAGCGATAAAGAAGAATATTTTTAAAAGTTTTTGAAAGTTCTAAAAAATATTATTACAACAAATTTTTAAATCATTTTAAAATATTCCTAAAACACTTTTAAAATGTTTTTATGCAATATTTTATAAAAATATTTTTTGAAAACATTTATAATATTTTGTGCCGTATGGGTAAACGTAATCAGACGTATAGGACTCGTAAGAATTCTCGACTTTAAAATTTCAAAGTGACTAATAATAATTGAAACTGAAAAATGAAAGAATGTATTTAAAATAGGGATGAAATGTTTTTCCGTCTGATAATAAAATATAAAAGAATACGTAACATGACATAACGATATACTCGACTCTAAAATTATAAAGAAATTAATTATCGTTGCTAGTGCTTTAAACTTTTAAATTATGAAAGAAAATAAAGCATTAACCGTAGATTTCACTATAGAATAATCGATCAATGATATGTCATACGTGGCAAATAGGCAACAATACGTGTGATACATATCGAAACGTACACTTCTCGCGTCTATATGACTTTTTTCATATAGGAATAGGAACAAGCTCTCAAACTGCTAACCCTCGCGATAACAGCTACTCGAAGTTACGAAATTGTATTTCATTTTGAACACTATGAAATTGCTAAGTCTTGCGATAACAGCCTCTCGATACGAATATAACATACAACGCGAGATAGTTATAACCAGCATCGCGGAAAAGAGGCAAGAATTGACTTAACATATTTGTTTTAGAAAGAGATAAGACTTAAAAATTAAAAAATATAGCTTTTTAAAAAATCGTAAATTTCAACAAAAATATCTTAATTCAAATGTTTTACCTTTATATAAAATAAATAAATTATAAGTAATTAAAATGTAATTAATTAAAACTTTGGAATTGCAGACTTTATCTACTGCATTTTTTGTCATGCTATGCTTGCAATTGCTGAATATCCCCCACTGCACGAAATATTGCATAAATGTTTCCCTATTGCGCCATATTACAAATATTGCAGCAATATTATGCAAATATTATAACTCAATATTTTATTGGAGATATTGCAAAATATTACTGCTATATTATATCACATCTCTAAAAGCACAATATATCCGAAGGATGTTCAGAGAATAGCTGAGAGAATCCTCTCAACATCTTCATGTTTGCTGTTAGGAATAGTTCTTTCGTTTACCACTATGCGCCGCACGTGAAGCTATCTATCTCACATGTAAAGTTTAGTCGGCTATATAAATAAGAACTAGTTATTAGAACTAGTTCTTTCTCACATATGTATAAGGTTTAGTCATGAGATTATATAAATAAAGAAGTTGTTAAGTTACAAGTAATAAACAACTAATAAAAATAACTAGTTATTAGAACTACTCAACACAGGGAACTCAACTATTAAACTGATGGTTCAGCAATATCGGGTAAATAAATGATGGAGAAAATAAAAAATAAGAAATATTCTGCAACATTTTATAAATATTATATTCACATTTGGAGAAATATATCAGCATCATTGCAGAAATATTGCACAATATAGTTTAGGAACGGAGATATCTATATTATTGCAAGCTTCCCGAAATATTCTATGCAATATTCCAATTTTGCAAAACAATATTCCCGCAATATTCCATCAATATATCGTGCTATAGGGGATATATTAGGTTGTTCGGAAAGTTCGTTTCAACGCATTTCTACATAATCAGTAAATGCGAGAGCACTAAAGACGATTTTCTGCTTATCAGCTAACTTCACATAGATAGTATAGCCTTCAGCTGGACGAATTGAAGACTGCCATCGTACGAAAGCGCCCTGAACTGAGTGGAGTTATCTTCCACCATGATAATGACCTTACGTCGCGATGTCTATCCTAGGAAACTATATTAAACGTAAAATGGGACGTTTTTCCTCATTTTCCATATCCCCTGATCTTGCCTCATCTGACTACTACCTATTTCTTTCTTTAAAAAATTTTCTTCAGGACAAGAAATTCGAGTCATTCGAAATCCTCAAAAATCATCTCGATCAATTCTTTGTCAGTAAGAAACCTTCATTTTGGAAGAAAGGCATCATGTTACTTCCGGAAAGATGAGCCAAGATGGTTGAACAAAACGGTATATATTTGCTTAAATAAAGTTCCTCTTTGTATAAAATAATGCGTTCAAATTTATATTGAAACGAACTTTCCAAATAATCTAATATATTCCATATTAAAAAATAAAACAAAATCACACGAATACTTTACTTTATACTTTCTGCTATAATATATGATAGAATTATAAATAATGACACATAATTATTATCAGAAAGAAAGAGAAAGAGAGAGTGTGTGTATATCATATTTTTTCAATTTATTAAATAATCATCAGTATTCTTATTTCAGGAATCATGATGTTGAGATTTTTAACTTATATATAGGTCTTTATTTTTTGATAGGATAACATATAATCTCTATAATAATAAGAGAGATAAAATTGCGCATAAAAGTCGTTTTTATTATTTCGCGAAAAGTGGAGTTGAGAAAATTATAAAAGAAAATCGAACAATTATTTATATGTACATAAATATAATTCTAAATTTAACAGTTACATTTAAAAATTTTATCGTCTACACAATTTTATAATCGATTCAGACACTTGCCGTTTTTATCGGTTTGCCGACTTTTGATAAAAATATTTTAGTATTTAAACACACAAGTATCTAACAGATGACGCAGCTTGCATCTATTCTCTGTCGCAATATAAAATCTGAAGCATTATATTTAATTAATTCGTAAATATAATTCATGATATACGATTTTCGTTCTTTATATAAAATATTAAATCATACATTTATTCGTGCGGAAAAGTATAATAAAATATGTTTCTTCAATAATACATTAAAACAGGAATATCGTAGAGAAATGAAATCACACAAATTATTAAACATATACGATTTTATATGTTTGATACAATCGATACATACATATACGAACGAGAAATAGCTGAAAGTATTTATTTATTCATTAATAATAATTATAATTCTATTAAGAAAATCTCCATTTAAGCAAGAAGATAATTACCGTAAAATTAATTTACAATATATCAAGCAACTTTTTAATTAAGTTACAATCCCAATTGCGATGAGAGAAGAATATAATGTGTTCAAATTCTATAGAGAATAGATATATTATAAATATTCAATAATCTTATTAACACATTATGTTTTTATAATTATGTAATTAGTGTAATATATTAATTATTCGGGAAATTATTTATTTATTTATAAAAAGATGTACTTAAACTTTTACAGTTTGTTTCTTAATCACTTAAATGATGTATCGGTGCAAATATGTTTAATTTTGATAGATATTAAATTCGCATTCAAATCTGTCTCCGCTAAATGTCAAAGCATCACTAACTGTTTATTTCATCCTCTTCTTCTCACTGTATATCCGGTTGAAAATGCATTAGAAATATATACACATTGAACGAACAATGTATCTTAGATGTTTAATGTTGAGGTAAGAGATAAGAAGAAAAGGGATTAACAATTTAACAGTTGACATTTAGCACAGCTCGATCTGAATGAACCCAGATTTTTTAGGTGAAGATTTTAATATCAATATTTATTAGAAAAATGCTCTGTATCTAATACTATAAATATTAGATAATTTCGCAAGAATATTGATATTTTGAACTGTTATAAGAAAAGAAATTGATTTATCGTAAACACTTAATTAACATGTCATTTATTTTAATTAAAAAATACAAGTTAGTATAAATAATTATATATAAAAATATATAAAATATTCCAAAGATTATCATCTATATGCGATTATTTATATGCGGTTAATATTTTAACTTTATATTTTTACGCGCGTTGATATTTTATTTAATACGTTTTCTGATTTTTATTTAATACATTTTGTAGATAAATATTTAGTTGGCTGATAATTAAAAAATATCAAAGTGATATGAAACATTCTAAGCCTTCGTTAGAAAGTAATAGAATAAAACATGATCTTAGAAGATAAAGCTTAAAGAAAATTCAATGTCTCTATTATGTTCCCTGCATAGTATTTTGTCTTCTCATCTGTTTAAGGCTTCCATTGATTTTTCACGAAATAAATGTATCGCATTTGTCCCCCTCAGTGGATTTTTACAAAAAAATAAATAAATCTATAATTAAAGAAGAAGAATGAAAGAAAGAGAGAAAAAAGAAGAAGACATTTTATAATAAATCGCGAGGGAAAAAAGTCATTAATATTCAGATTCTCAATAACTTCTTTTTTTTATTTCTTCATCGCAATCGTCTTCCTTTCAAAACTTTGCTGTCGTCATCTAAGAGTTTAAATATTTTTCTCTTTTTCTTTTATCTAAATAAATATATATCTTATGCTTTATCTTGTGCGTTACAGTGTCTTACGTATGTAAGCACCCCCTTATTTCGGTATCGACTTGCGTATGTGTGTATATACAATATATATATATATATATATAGATAGATATACAATATATTTATATAATATATAAATATATATACAATATAGATATTATATATTATATAGATATTTATATATTATATAAATATATTGTATATAGATATATATATATATAATATATAATATATACACACAATATATTTATATAATATATATAAATATATACACAATATATAGATATATATATATATATATATATATATATTATATAAATACACGCATTTATATAATATTATATATATATATATATATATATATATATGTATTATATAAATATACGCACACATACATATACATATATATAAGTATGTATATAGAGCAGATGGCGCCGCGAATGTCTCCCGTCGTTCACGCGTACAGTTTCCTAGCCCCATCCATTCCTGGCTGCGCGCCGCGCCGCACCACATCGGGGTTTCTCAGTGCAAAACCACCCCCGGAGCTGGCGTTATCGGTTAGCGCGCGCGACGATATAAGCCAAACCCGACACTCGGCCGATTACAACAAACTTTGTCGCAAAACTTACCAAGTACAACTTCCGGCGACCTGAAGCTGAAACCTCAAAGTTCGTTCAAGTACGTCGAACCGGAAAAAGTCAGTTTTCGATCTGTCGCGATCGGTATTTTTTGTTTTAGCGCAATTGCACGTCTTTTGGAAATTTAGAAAATTATTATAGCGATAGACTAATTCTAAAAAAAAAAAAAAAAAAGCAGGATTTAAAACGGCAGGATTTAAAAGACAATTCCGCAAGACGCCAAACTTTAGTTCGCCAAGTTGAAGTATTCGGCGGCGAACGTATGGAATTCGACGATCGCGCGTACTTTCAATACTCGATCTGTCGGTGATCAGTGCAGTGTTTTTCGATTTAGACCCATCACGGAATTCCTGGGATCTCGATGAAATACCGTGAAACTTTTGATGTACGCCACCATATGGAATTAAGAAAGTAGGACGAAGACAAAGAATAGAGGAATAATGCAATAATCGATTAATTGTACGATTATAATAATGTAATAAAATAGAGGCGAAGTGTATAATTAGAGAAATGTATGACTCGCTACGATCGAGCGAATGTAATAATTGACAAACGAATGGTACAATTAATAAGGGCAAACCTCAATTCCTCAAATTTAAGTGAACAGCGATAAACGAGTCTTGATAAATCGAATATTTACATTATCCATCATTGCATCTTTACACTGCTCGATCGAAAAGTTCTCATTGTCAGTGCGATATTTTATCCCCCAAAAAAATGCCGACTTTCGCCACGTGGTAAATCAGACATATATATAACTACAAAAGTGGATAAATAAAATCATCAAGATTACGTGTGAGATCAACGTTTAATTCGTATTTTTAATAAATTTGGAGACGAATCAAACTGACACAAGAAGTAAAAACATCATCATGTCAACATCCTTCTACACGGCCGATTTTTTCTCATCCCAGGATCTCATCGATCCTTGAGACTTCTCCGAGAGTCGAAGGAAAAATTCGAAAAAGATGACACCGTGAAGCAGCGATGAGCGATGCCGATGAGAGAATCGTCGATCGTGGAAGCCGGTCGTTCGACAGGGAGCATGAACTTGACGAAAAGAAAATACACCCCCGGCATCCTCGACGTCGCCGACACCGGCCGCAGGATCCCCAGGACGAGATCAGGATCCCGTTGAGGCAGAATCGAGCTTACGTACGCCTAAGTCGCAGTAAATGTGTGCAACGCAGTTCCTATTTTTCTTAATATCTCAGCCAGACCGGTCTAACGTCGTCCTCACGTGCTGATCGATTCGCGTCGAATCATAATAATAAGAAATAATAACATGGGGCCGAATCTGACGAATGTCAGCGCTCTCATCAACTGCAGCTCGCCCTTCGCGAGCGAAATCGAGGAGTGCAAGAGGTACGTAGATTATAATCACGAACTAGTCGAAACCATCGTGGTGGTGGTGGTGCCGCTGTTCTTCGGTATAATCGGCATCCTCGGTCTCGTCGGGAATTCGCTGGTAGTCGTGGTGGTAGCGGCGAATCCCGGAATGAGGTCGACCACGAATATTCTCATCATCAATCTCGCCGTGGCGGATCTCCTGTTCGTTATATTTTGTATACCGTTCACGGCCGCCGACTTCGTCCTGCCCTACTGGCCGTTCGGCAACGTCTGGTGCAAGATGGTTCAGTACCTGATCATCGTCACCGCTTACGCGAGCGTTTACACCCTGGTCCTCATGAGCCTCGACAGGTTGGTGCGTTCAAATTATTCCTCCGATTCAACAGGATCGCGAAATAAAACTTTAGGTATTTTACTTATAGATTTTGGGTCGCTGAATCCAAATCCGTAACCCATCACTAGTCTGGTTTTTTTAGGTAATTAGAGAAAAGTGCAAAATTTGAGGGAAAAGAATTCAAGAGCTCAAATTTTTTTAATTATTTTATTTTCTAGAGATAACAAACAAAAATTCAAATATTTTGGAAAACTTTAGGTATTTTACTTATAGATTTTGGGTCGCTGAATCTAAATCCGTAATCCATTACTAGTCTGGTTTTTTAGGTAATTAGAGAAAAGTGCAAAATTTGAGGGAAAAGAATTCAAGAGCTCAAATTTTTTTTAATAATTTTATTTTCTAGAGATAATAAACAAAAATGCAAATATTTTGGAAATATACAAGTGAAAATCTATCGATCTAATTAATTATAAACTATTTATATATATGTGGGTGATGGGGCTAATGAGGTTGGTTCCCGAAATATTTTGAATACATTTTTTTATACAATTGGAATTAGGATAAGTTTTTTTAATAGATTTTAGTAATCTATATTTTTAAACACCTATCCTAATTCTAATTGTATAAAAAAATGTATTCAAAATATTTTGGGGACAAATATTCGATAGATTTCCAAATCGATAGATTTTCATTTGTATATTTCAAAAATATTTGAATATTTGTCTGCAAAATTCCTAGAAAATAAAGTTATTAAAAAAATTAGTTTCTTGAATTTTTTCTCAAATTTTGCACTTTTTTCTCAATTATCTAAAAAACTAGAAGTGATGGAATAAAACGGGTTACGGATTTGGATTCAGCGATCAAAATCTATCTAAGAAATACCTACTCTGGTTTTAGAAACAAAAAAATTTTAGTTTGTGTAATTGACGAACTGTCAAGCTGTGTGTAATTTATTGGAAAACTTCTTGAGAGCCTTTTTGATGTTTGATTAAAAAACAATGTTGTCTGCTTATATTGCGTGAAACACACGCGTAATATTTCATGCAAAACTGTCGGATGTGTCCGCAATAGCTGTCAACAAGTACGAAACAAATGATATATACATATACTTAAGTCGAGTATAATGTAAATTTATTCTTAGACGAGAGAGTGAAAAAACCGAGCATTTTTTTTATTTCAAGCACCAAGCAAGATCGTTTGCATTTTTAATAACGTGTCTATTTTTTGCCGAAGAGAAAAAAAAGAAATTGCTGTAAATAACGTTCGTCGTCATTATTGAAGCCAGATTAATAATTCAATCATGAAATATACAAATCGTAAGATATTAATAATTTTGAAATGTGTCATTTGACGACGCGGAAATGCTTTTATGAGGGCACAGATGTTTTTATAAAAGCGTTCTCTCGCACAGATAGTAATTCATTTTTTTGTAAGCGAAGAATGACTTAAATTTATTTATATATTTCTACGGAATTTGTTATCTCAATCTCTTTAGAAAGCGAGTGCTTTAGACGCGAACAAACAATTTGAAATTCTTATTCTTACTTTTCTTTTCGATGTATATCCCTCAACAAGTAAGAGCATTCGCTTCGTTTTATTTGTATAATCGATAAAATGGATTCGACGTAAACGTAAACGACTTTTAGAATATTTAATACAGTCCTTTTTTTTCTCGTTACAATTCTAAATAGAATAATCATGCAAAATAATAGTTTTCTGAAGAAACTTCTCATAAAGTACCTCATTTTTATATAATTTCGGCAAACTTTTTGTAATTATATATTTTTTCTTAGCAGATATTTGATTAGACGTTTTTTTTCTGTAAATTGCATATTTAATTATTTAATATTCATAATTAACTTCTGCTAAATAATTTACTTAGACAAGTCACTGTATTATACTTATCTGTATTAAAGCGAACTTCTCGTGTAATTGGTCAAAAGACTAATTCAGAGGATATGCGTTTCCTTGGGGCACTTTACTTCAACATGATGAAATATGTAAATTCTCTAAGGATATATATATATATATACATATATATGTAAATATATTTCTTGTGATCAATTACTAGAAAATCTTGTTTGAACTGAATACTAAGAAAATTACATATTGAATTAGTCGGTATAAAAGTTAATTAATGGTTTAATTAAATATTATTAATATATATATATATATATATATATATATATATATATATATATATATATATAAGCTGCAGAGAAAGAACGTCTTACCCAATTATCTCAAAAAAATGTAGCGACAAGGAAAATTATTGAGATTATTTAGATTATGAATAAAATTGAGATTCTATAAATTTCTCGAGACGGCATCCACTCTGTAATTAAGATAAAAATATGTGCATCTTTTTTTAAAAATTGTTCAATAATTTCTAAATTTATTTGATATTGATAAAATGTATCCCTTATCGTGCATGCAAATTTCTTTGCGCTATTATTTTTTCATCTTTAAAAAAATCTCCACTGTTGTTATCTCGTGTGTGTTCTGATATATTCAGACGGCCTTTTAACATAAACTCGTCGTAATAGCAGCTTCGCGAAGCGCTTCGGGCTTTTTGAACGTTTGATATTTGATCGTCGTCCAGCTTTGAATCCCGATGCGCGCCAGCAGTTTGCAGAATACGGGAATATATATTCGTTTGATACATTCACCTATCTCTCTCTCTCGGACAATTTGAACATGCCAATTTCAGCGCGACGTAGACCATTGTAGACGTTCGACGACGTCTAACTCCTCTACCTCACGGCGATGCGTCCTCCAGCTTAATCGACATACCCCATAGTACAGTGTATGAACTAGATTAAATCACCGCGAGTTATATTCTCTCCCTATTATTCAATCTCCGGTAATTGAGATGCAGTTCTGCGAAATGATTATTATTACATCAATAGCCGATATTGTATACATTGTGCAATACGTATTTGGATTATTAGTTTAGATCGTGCACAAGTTTATTACCTTGTATTATTATTCCAACATTTTTGATAATTTGTTTGATGAAATAAAAATTATATATAATCAAATTTATTCGATAAAGTAATTAAATGTTGTATTCAGAATATTCAAAATTATAGTAACTTTCCCAAAATAGTCAAAATTGGACGACTATTTAAAAACACTCTTGTCAAACAACAATTGTAATTCACTTGAAATAAGATAAATTATCAATAATTATATGATAATGTGACACAAAAAATGATTAGTACCTAATCAAAACATCACATACCAATGCTCAAGCCAAAATATGTTAAATTGTGTAACGAGCAATACGAAAATTCTTAATTTGAAATACAAACGTTTCGAGCTCTACTCTTCAGTCAAACAAAACAATTGTAATTCACTTGAAATAAGATAAATTATCGTATATAATTATATAATATATATTAGATAAAAATGTGACACATTACTCCAAATGAACCACTTATGTTATTTGACGAAAGTCCCTCGACAATGATTATGTTCTCCGATAAAAATTGGTTTGCAAAAAATTATTTTAAAATCTTCGATTTTATTTAAAAAAAACTTATTTTTAACATAAAAATATATTTGAGTCTACACTAATCTGAACATGTCTGTACTGTATCTATATTGGGGTTCGAGTATAATGAAGATTGATTCGGTATCGTGATGGTGTAATGGAATGTAAAACAACTCTTCGAACTTGTCAAAGCTTTTATTTTTCTTTTTACAGGATAGTTAGAGCCTCCTCGATGTGTCTTATCCATCTTGATTAACGCCTTAAAGATGCGCGAACAGTCAATCGATCTTCTTTAAACGATCCTCAGCATCCTACTTTGAATCAGAACGAGAATAAAGTAAAACTAAACTTAACTCAAGAAACTTCTCGGTTATTTTTCATCGTCTTTCTCTAACCTTCTTCTCCGAAAGCAAATATGTACCGCATGTTTAAACTAGAAATTATCTCCAAGTTGCAATTTTTTTAACTGATCCTCGAGGCAAGAAAACTGAACTTCTTAAATTGAGCGTTTTAAGGATTTTACTTTTATAGGTTAGGTTAGATACTTTTAGAGATTATAAACTCGTGAAACCTGATCGTTTAAACTTTAAACGCTAAATTTCGAAAAAATAAAGAAATGAAAAGTGAGAGATGTTTTCAAATTCATTTCTCTTCTTCATTATTATATTCCGTATCAAACTTTGTCGAAACGCTATGGGAGAGGGTTCCCAGCAAACACAGTATATAAATGTTATATACTTAAGCATGTTACATGTAACGTATATGTTAGTTGTAATTTCCCACTCATAGATGTAACAATTTTTTAATATATATATATATTACATTGTAGTTATATTGTCATTATATCCCAAGATAGTTATATTATCAATATATCAATGTGCTATTGATATCAAAGTCAGTGCTTGATATAATGACAAGTAACTACATCTTGGGATATATAATGACAATATAACTACAATGTAATATATATATATATGTAATATTAAAAATGTGTATAACTAACATGAATGTTACATGTAACGTACACGTTATATTACCTGTTATATTCCGTTTTATTATAGCAATGTAACAATTATATATCGGTGTTTGCTGGGTTTAGAACCTCAGAGGGAGAAGACTCCCCTTACAACAGATTAGCAATTCAAGCTATATGCTAATGACAAAATTTGACAGCGACAAGCCGTGTCAAGATAAGACATTTCTTCCGCAGATATCTGGCGGTGGTGCATCCCATTACCTCGATGTCCTGGAGAACCGAGAATCACGCCATATTGGCGATCGGCGTCACGTGGGTGATGATCCTGGCTCTGTCCACTCCCGCCATTGTGATCCACGGCGAGGTAAGGACACGAGATCCGGCACGGATCAAGTCCTCGTCCCCGAACGGACTTCCTTCACCTAGTCCCCGTGTACGTAGATTCGCTACGTGTTCCAGGAGGGTGACGATCCGATGCAGAACCTGACTGCCTGCCGGGTCCTGGCACAGTACGACTGGATGACCTTCCAGGTGTCCTTCTTCCTCACAAGCTACGTGCTGCCCCTCGTGCTGATATGCATCTTTTACATGTCCATGCTGATCAAGCTCTGGCGAGGCACCCGCGTCAGCACCGAGAGTCGACGCGGCAGGAGACGCGTCACCAGGCTCGTCTTCGTCGTCGTAGGAGTCTTCGCCGCCTGTTGGTGTCCGATACAGGTAAAGTGGTTGTTGTTTATCGAGAAGAATCTCCAATTTCCTTGTTCTCGTCGATATCTGTCATCCGGTACCATATGGTCGTACGTGGTCGCAGGTGATACTGGTGTGCAAGTCCTTGGACGTGTTCCCGTACACCACGATGACGATAATGGTCCAGATAGTCAGCCATATCCTTGCTTATACCAACAGCTGCGTCAACCCATTTCTATACGCCTTCCTGAGCGATAACTTTCGCAAAGCCTTCCGGAAGATTATCTACTGCAGACCGAGAGCGGAGCCGAATAATCGGCTGGGACCAGCCACGAGGACAACGAGAGCCGCGAGCAGCGGCGATATTCTTTAGAGGTGAGGAGGACAAATTGATTTTTTTTCTCCCTCTTCTTTTTATCCGCAAAATGACCGATTGTATCGATGTTCTAAGATGTCTCTCTGTACATGTCGCAATCGAGGTATCACAAACTGCGATTGCTCTTCACAATAGACCGGGTATTTTCTTTTAGCTTCTGGCTTTAATCCTTGAGACATAATATTGGTCTGCGTGTGGACTCGCTCTATGTATATATACATTATATGCTTCTATTGTTCAACATATAATTTTCTCGTTGATGAATATTTCTTTCCTTGCGATACCTTTTTTTTTTTTTTCATTACATTCTCTCTCGGAGAATTCGGAATTAAAAATTTTCCGCGGTCCCTCTTTCTCTATAAACGGTATCGATTTCTCCGTCAGAGCGACATTTTATCCGGAGGTTATATATAAAACGATTAGGGATCATCGTTAAGGATTCTGGAGTATTAAACATGGGCGAGATTTTAGGATTCCACGCGGGAATCTTTCAATAGTGCAGCATGTTACCCATCATCTTCGCCTTTCCCTCCTTCCTCCGATCTAAATTTCTTCTTCGGAAGAGATGACGAGCCGGGGAATTCGTGCCGGGGCACTTAACAACATTACACGATTTACTTGGCTCCAGATTCGGGCCCGCTCGGGTATGCGCGTAACAAAATTTTCCTCTTTCCTGCTTCTGCTCACTTCTCGTCCACCCTCCTTCTCCAACCCCAACCATCCCTTTTCCCACCTTCTGCGGCGCAGCGTGGCGTATTGCCATTAACACGGTGACATTTTCACAGCTAGTTTACCCTGGAATACCATTTTCGTCTGTCCCTTCTGTACGCGGATATCGGGGATAGGGATAAAGAGAGATAGAAAGAGGAAAAGTGCGAGTGCGGGTTTAGTGACAAACGCAATTTAATACCGCGAGGCATTAATGTTAAGTAAAGGCGCTGCTGGGAAAGCGGACAGATAGAATAGAGGGAAAATTTTCATTTAAAACATCTTCCCCGCATACGTTGCAAACGGGAGCTCACTTTACTAGAGGAGTGAGAGAGAGAAAGAGGTAGCAAAATGCTTCGCTACAGGTACATAATAATGACTGAAGTCTCTTTTATGCGGTGAGCTCAAATATATATATATAGCTCTGCGAACTTACGGGAAAAAAGGTATTAATGTATATCTGAACGATAATATTTTCTTTCTTCCTACCTTTTGTCTTACGTAATTGTTATTATGCAACGAACATTTTCATTTATTGTTCTCTCACGACGATCAATTTGTTTAATTGTGAGAGGAAATATCGCAGAATTCATTTTCACAGCCAATTTTCCCTCTTCGAGGTGTGAGAATACATTACGAAGTGACGCCATTAATATTAATGTATGTAAACTTTATTTAACGTTATTAATATTCCTTTATACCGTTTACATATACATATATTTGTATGTTTTCGTTTTTATATTTTTTCAAGTTTCTTCGCTCTATTTCTCTCTCTCTCTGAAATTTACAGATCGCGCCGAATATTGTACAAAAATATATATATATACGGATCCGCACGTGGCGTATGCGAAGTCTTTATTGCGGTGCAGCATAGATAGATGAACGAACAGGATTTATTACCGCAACAAAAATTTCCACCGTGTCTTTGTTCTTTGATTTATTTGCACTCCGCATCGTTGGCAATCGCTTATACATCGAAGGCATTTCCGCGGGAGAAAAAAATACTCATCGCGACACAGCAAACAAACCTTAATCAGGCCAATGCGTGAGAGATTGATGGCTGACCGAAAATTCAATTAACCATTCCTGTGATACACCTAGCCATGTTATACGTTATGCATTGTCGTTTTTATACCATAACGATTCTCCCTTTGATCCCTTACCGCGTAACAACCGTCATCTTTTATATTCCCTTCTTTTTTCCTCTCCAATATCTCGTATATATCGACAGAAACGATATAAACGAGTGGAAAAAAAAATCGATAACGAATATCGTACGACGTATTGCATTCTGCTTTCGGAATACCAATGATATGGCGGGATTTAAACGCGTGATATTAATTAGAATTAATATAGCGATTGATCGTGTATTTGCATTGTGTAACTGCCTAAAATTGCGAGACGGCACGTTTCGTTTGAACTGGTCGGAATTATCAATATCCCTTTGCTTTTCAGTCCGTTAAACAAGCAGATTCATCGACGAAAGCCGAAGGATATTGCGGAGTTTAATCCGAATTGACCCTTGTATTAGGCTCCCTTTGTTGTATACGATATATCAATACGAGTATAATATAATGAGTTTATGGCACGTATAAATTTCTCCGAAAGAGCTTCAATATCGGTCGAATATTAAATTAAAAAAAAAAAAAAAATTATTTAAGTTAAGTTAGGTTAGATTATAGGGGAATTAAGGGAATACAGTCGCTGTTTTATTTTACCAACTTTAAGTTAGGTCAGATTTACTTTTTTTATTGAATATACACATTGAAAAGTCCTCCACAATGAAAGTGATAATAATGAATGGAGAGCGCTGTCCTGCAACTAATTTTTGCTGTTTTATGCCAAGACATCGATTCTGTGCACGCAAATATACATACGTAATTAATTCAAGTACGAATCTTTTGATACAGGCTTTTAATCTCATTTTTATTACTTCTGTATTATTATTTCATGTCATCTTTATTGGGAGCGCAATATTTTGTGCACAAATAAACTGCAGAACTTTTGTATTAAATAAGTATTGTTACGAGCTGATACAAGAAAGGCCGATAAAAAAACTATAATTTTTAACTTTTATTGTTTTTTATACGAAATTACAACGCTCCCCGTTTATTATTATTAGTACAATACTTTAATTGTGGAGAAGGATTTTTCAATCTGTATAGCCAATAAAAAGAAAAGCCCTTGAACTCAAAGTCGGTAAAACAGTTATGGTCAGCATTCTCTTAATATGCATAAGAAAAAAGAATACTTTAAAAAAGAATAGAGAAAAGGGACGTAATTAGACTACATGATATAAGATAGTAGAAGGTTTGATCGTAAGTAGGTTAGAGGGTAGAGAGTAAAAGTAGAGCGTAAGAAGAGGAATGAATGAGTAAGTGTGATATAAATGAGGATAAGAAAGTATTGTAAACCAAGTTCGCTTCTTGACTATAAGTTTGAAGTGAATAAAGATTATATATATATATATATATATATATATATATATATATATATCCATATATATATATTATCAGTACTTTAATTGTGGAGAAGGATTTCTCAATCTGTATAACCAGAAAAAAGAAAAGTTCTCGAACTCAAAATCGGTAAAACAGACATGGTCAGCATTCCCTTAAAGGGGAACACAAGAATTAAAGATCTCAACCAAAAGATACTATTCCTAATAAGCAAAAAATGGATTTTTGCAATAACTGACGCAAAAGACATCGCGTTAGGCGCTACAGCTAATATATATATATATAAATTATATGGAAATTTATTTAGTTAATATATAGAGATTAGAGTCAACGTAGCAACGATTTTACGTCAATTATCGAAATGTCGTTACATGACTTTAAGTCAAGAATACATAATACATATGTCTTCTCGACGCTGACGTCAAGTGTCAACTGAATAAAGATCGCAAGGCAGAAGCGGATAGTTTCGAACTGTTTGACTACTCAGCCAGATGGAAATATCCGTATTTTATACGGACGAGACGTTTCTAAAAGGATAAACGATATTCCTTCCGGATAATCGTCCGGACACCGGAAGATGGTTTCCGCGCAAACAAAATGTTAATCAAATAGATTTGCGTACGCAACGGGACGGTAATTCGATATCCCGACGATTCGATTCCTCGACTAAAACGTTTCGCGCGATATTAATACGGCTTTCTATACATTCGCCCGTCTCGGCGAATTTGCTTTATCGTATAAACAGATCGCTGGATCCAGGCTAGATCTGTCTGCTGAGGCGTGACTTGTACTTTGCTCCGCTTTTATCTCGTGCTCTATATTTATTTTATTAATAGATTTCGAAGGAAATCACATACCGGGATATGGGAAATTAATTTAATGGATTTGAGGAATTATCTACTATTTTTATATAATACGCGGAAATTTAAGATTTTTTTTCTTAAAAGATCGCCTCGCCAAACTTTTTAATAAATATACATTTTACCTTTATGTGAATTTTTCCGCGAAATGACGAGATTACATTTCTTTTTTAATTTCGAAAATTTAATCCCTCTTCTCTCTAACGATTTTTAAAAGCATTTCTCAATTCAGTGCAACTTTATAATACCGTACAAATATATATTACATATACTTTTGTGAAGCGCGGCTAAAAGTGAATGATATAATAAGGCATTTGCACTTTCCAAATTTAGTCCGTATTGATTAGGAATACGATCAGTGTAAATCCGATTTTAATGAGACAGTAATAATTTCCGGCGCGAATAATTTTCCGCGTTTTATCTCGACAATCATGACGATATTGTACTCTCGTAATTCGCTTCGCGTAATTAGTCGTTGAAAAGCTTCCAAACAAATATTGATTCGGTCTACGTAGCAGAAACTACGTCGGGAACCATAATTTCAAAGATGTCACAGAAAAAAGTTGTCGCCATTGCACGTGATAAATGAGAATTGTTTGGCAAGGATTTGGAAGTGTATATCATACGGGGGCTCTGACATTCTCATGAATTGGTAGATAGGATGTGTCTACTACATGAGAACCGTCTCGTGACCCTCATTTGTATAAATTTAGCGAGATGGAAGTTGAAAAAAAGTACAATATTTTTTTATTGCTAGATATTTTTAGTAAGAAAAAATAAAATTTTATAAAAAAGCTTACAAAATAATATTTTTTAAAATGTATACTTAAATTAGATTGTTTTTGCATGTTGATAAATAATTGTTTATTGAATGTTGCATAAAAACAATTATAAAATAATTACGAAAAAATGAATTACAAATATTTTCGGTTCTACATTATATCCCTTGTACATGCGATTTATTTTATAATTTTATTTCGTCACGATCCAGCAATTTCTCACAGATCAAAACAATCGAAGCTTATTAAGCTCGTTTTACTGGCATATTTCCGACATATTAATTATTTTTTTACTTTATTGCGTAATCGTCTTATTAAAATTCAATTTATATCTCTTTCATATAATGTTGCGGCCTATTTTAAATTTACTCGCAAACATTGATTGCATTTCGTTACATATATATGTATCTGTTGAATAAACGAGAGCATATCGTGTTTCAAAGTAATGCGAATTAAATATAAAAACTCAAGATTATCAAAGAGCCTTTATATACATACAGAATGTATTTAATATACAACGTTGGAATAAATTTTCCGCGAAAAATCCAGCGTTTTATGCGCAAAAATTTAATGAGAGCGCAATACGGAGTGCAACGATATGCAAATTCGATGATATGCACACAGATCGATATATCGCGAGAAGCTCGATCGACGGTGTCTTGGTAAGGAATCGAATCAAAGAGGAAGAACAGAGAAGGAAAATAGAGCCAAGAAGAGCGAACCACCAAGGGTTGAGAAGTAGCGCCAGCCGGCTTCTTTTGCTCTCTCGACGAGAAAAGTCTTCCGCTTATTTCACGGCGCGGCCTACTTTCGGAAACCTTTCCTCGTCTCCTACGGGAATTACGTCGTCGAGAAGATCGGGCGGAGACTCGAGTTGAAATCGAAGCCTGGAAATCCTGGGGAAACTCTTTGACGTGTTATAATCGAGAGCGCGCAAATCACACTCCGATCATCGCTTAAATCAGTTTCTCCTTTTAATTCAACGAACGACGGGAAATCGAAATTTTTGTAGATTTTCAACGAAAGAACGAATATTTTTCAGACGTGCTTGATTTCATGATTCTCTTGCAATTTTTTTTTTTTACACGCGGCAAGAGAGACAAAAATAAGGAAAATATTTATTTAATTATCGCAAAAGTAATGGATATTAAAATATTTTATATTTAAAATATTAAAATAGTTTAGATAGGTAGAATTAGAGATATACATAGAATATAATATAATTATAGATATAGAGATATATATATATATACATATACAATAATATAAGGATAGATAGATGGTATATATAGACAATATATATATATATATAGATATATATATAGATATATATATATGATTATATCATTATATAAATGATTTAATATTTTTAATATATATTATTAATTTAAAATATTAAAAAAATATATATGTATGTTAAAAAAAATATTAAAGGGATCAGAGTAGATTCACGCGTAAAAAAATCCAGCATCCATATGTCTTTGCATTAAAATGTTTTTTACTGTGTTACAGACGTAAATTCTCTCACTGGCGACGGCGCGGATCGGCGAATGTCTACGATCTATAGGATATTCGGTGTTTTGATGTCATCTGGCGATTAAGTGAAAAGACACGTGTGTTTTTAATTCTTCAAATCTCCGCCAAATATATACCACCCACCCATCCACCCACACACACACTTCATGTTCTCTCAATTTCTTTTTCGACAAAATAAATGCTCCAAGGTGAGTATTAGAAATAATAATAATAATAATAATAATATTAATAATAATAATTGTTGTGAAAGTATGCGATCGCTTGAGAACAACTTGTTAACGGCGTCGAGATGCAACAGCTGATGGTCACAGAAAAAGAGCCTATTCGTATCCGATTATCTCGTATATCATCACATCGATATCGTTTCTCTAAATATGAATGGATTTCATATATAGAGGAATCTATAAATAATATATAAATTCGAGAAACTCGCGAATCGGGATATTCCGCGAGTGCGAAATATTACGAAGTCTTAATAAATGTGTAAGAGAAAGAACGCGGACTCTCTCGTATATCCTCTTATCCAGGACTGTTAATTCGAAAGATCTCTCTGTCAGGATCATCGTCAGGAAATTACACGTCCGAGCACATTGTAAAGTGTATCAATAAAGACATTGAGATAATCCGTATCTCGTTTGCCCGCATTATTGGAGTAAAGGAGAAAAGGAATTTGACTGACGCTTTTCTTTATTAATATCCAACTAAATTCGATGTAATTGAAAACTTTTTATTTACCTCGTTTATCGAATCTAACGAGAATGAAAAAGGAGCTACGCACTTTAAAATTAAATTATTTAAATGCGAAGAATAATTCGCCTTTCCGAGACTTTTAACTATCGATCGAAAAACTTTATCGAAATAATGTCACGATTTATACTTTGCAGATAACTGGACGGAATCAGATTTATGGAACGATGATGTCGGGAAAGAAATTAATTCGAGCTTTTATATCGAATGAAGTAAAAGCTCGTTCCTCGATAATGACACGATTTATTTTATTTGTGTCCCTTATTTTCTTCTCGACACTAAAATATCTTCGACAGTTTGCTGGCAAAATTTTCAAATTGTTGATAGATATCCTAAATATTTAAGCTATTAAATGTAAAAAAAAGAACTAATTAAAATCTTTTTATCCGAGGTATCGTGAAACAAGAAAGAAGTCGTTTCATTACGTTGGACAAATGTAATTTTTATCGGTGCCGTAATCCAATATTTGCACTGACCGATTCGGAGCGACCTTAAACTGTACACGGACGAGGGTGTAATGAATTTCCCTTTGAGCTAGATATGCAAACGTGAAAGAGAAAGAGCATCACCTTTAGCAACGCGAACAAACGGTTTAACGAGACGATGGGGGATGATTTTAAGTAGATAGGAGTTAAAAGAGCTAATGATCGGCGAACAAAAGGAAATCGAATCGCGCTTCCCTCGAAGCAAAGATTCTCTTTTTCCGTAAATTTAATGTTCCGAGGAAGAACCGCGTTCCTCCGTCGACTTCTCTCCACGTAAACTTCTCGAGGATTCGAGAGAGAAAGGGAGAGCGAATTTCCGATAATCGCATTAATAAAGTTAATCGATGTGCGAGTCGGTGTCGCGCTTTATCGTCGTCGCCGGATCTGAATTCCACGATTCATAAGATCTTTGATTTCTCTCTTTATCTCTCTTTTTCTTCCTGGACTTTCAAGATTGCAAAAACCTTATGGATTTTTTACGGATCTCGGATGCGTCATTCAAAGTGACAGAAAGATAGGTGGCATGAAACGGAGGAATGATCGTCGAGCATTGAGAACGGAGGGTTCATCTTCTATTTTTGTCCCTCCTCGAACGATCGTTCGAGCTTATAAATTCGCAAGATCAAGGAGAGACCCCGCAAAAAAGAATTTTTTAGATAATCAATTATTTTCATTTTTTTTTCTTCGTTATTTTTTTCTTTTTCTTTTGTCAATGCAATTTTTTTATCTTTTTATCGATGTATGGGTACCCGCATTTCAACCTGGTAAACATTTTTTTTATATATAATAATATCAAATTATATAGAAATATATAAAATTATACATATAATCGCAAAATTATATATGAAATATGTCCATACTTAATTAGATAAAAGTTTTATATATAATAATATATAATTATATAACTCAGGTAGCAAGCGTCAAAATGACGTCATTCGCTGTTAAAATGACGTTAAAATGACACCATTTTGACGTTTAATTACGTCAGTTTGCTACCTGGGAAATATATATATATATATATATATATATATATAATAAATAAATATTTCTTTATATGTATATATAAATATATATGTTTCATATATTATATAATTTGACATGATTATATATAAACCCTTATATATAAAATTATAAAATAAATTAAATTTATAAATTTATAAATTTATCCAAATCTAAATTTATAAATATCCATTTTTATATGTAATTATATAAATTTAAATAATTATGTATAAAAATAGACACATTTCATATATAATTTTACGATTATATATATAATTATACAATTATTTATATATAATTATATATACAAAATTTTTACCGGGACTGCATGTTTTGGACACATTGCACTGCGATAATTTCTTTATAGCAGCCGCTGGGCATCAAATATTCTTCTTCGTTAGATTTTAAAAAGTTTACGAGTACAAAGTTTTTGTATTGTGTATTTTGTTTCGGGCGAAGAAAAGTTTCAACACTATTTTAACATTTAAAGTTGCTTTAGATATCTGTTTATTGATAGAAGAATTAAATTATCTCTGTTATGTAATCAAAAGTTTGTCACTTTAATCGTAGATTTGAAGTCTGCAACTCGAGAAAAATCTTGCGCAATTAATTCTGAAGAGATGAAATAAATTTTTACCGTAATAAAAAGAAGTATCCATTTGTCTTATTGTTTATATAAAAAAAAAAATAAAAGAAGCACATCGATACTCACGATTTCTCGTCATTCTATTTTCGAAAGGCATTCGTGTCTCCTATTACGCTGTCACATATGCGCGATTATGCGTAAATAATGCGGAAGATATTATTACGCCGAGTAGCAACGGTCAGAGAGCGTTTTTACGAGTGCGCGTAAAATTAAATGGATTTTATATGGTTTACGAGTGCAACACGCGACGCGCATAAATATCGACTCGTCTTTCGTAAACGAAAAGAGAACTGCTCCGGGGATAGGGAGAGAGAGGTCGTATATGTCGCCGAGGACGACTAAGTGAAATTACTTAACATTTTCGCTCGTCTAAAAATTAGTTTGCAAACATTCACTCATCCCCATGCAAATATCGTGAAGACAGGAAACATAAATTGAGATGAGATTTGACTTGTGAATTTGTGTTTGAATTTTATTTTCGAAAGTACCCAGGTTCTCTCTGGACCGAATAATTCCTGCAAATTGGAATTTATTTTTTTTTTTTTTTGCAATAAATCGTGGCATCTTATTAAGTCGAGATTGAAGAACAAAATCTGTTGAACATCTGATAATCTCACAAAAGTTTCTTTTGCCGGAAAAAAACTTGCGATAACAACTTATCAAGACAATTTTATATTGTGTATTATCAGTTAATTTTCCTAGATTCTATGGAAAAAATTAATAACTCCTTATTTCGCGCAGAAATTAGGTAAAAAAATTTTACGCGATAACGCGCAAAAATCTTATCTCCGACAGTTTTATTTTTGTAAAACTTTCTCCCCTCGAGTTCTGCGTGAGATAAAAATCTGCGACACAAATCCTTATGCCAGTCGTTGCGACGTTAGTTTAAATTGCAAATTGCTAACTCGTCGAGTCGGCCCGCGATCTTCGTGAAACGTTAATGAGCCATAAGTAGAAACATATGGAGCAGCGAGTGACAGAGAAGGAGAGATGTGTTTGCGTCTGTTTAAAAAAAAAAAAAGTCAAAGGGGAATAACCAGAGAAACCGTGGAAAGAATTATGTGTGTGGAGGGGAACGAGGCACCTCAAATGGTCGAGAACATTTTCTCGTCGGGTGAAAGGCAAAAACACCTATCCGTTTGCTCTCTTTTTCTCTCCTCCTCGCATTCCCTTTTGCCGGAGGATCGATGAACTCTTGTCGTTGCGCGAAACAATGAAAGGGGAAGCGGATGGGATTCGTATACCGTGTCTTTCTCTTTCAGGGAAAGATGAGAAGCGAACTGAGCCCGTTCCCCTGAGCACCAGAAAGCAACGATCTTCCTTTTCCATGATCCTTCAGACGGACTATGCGCTTCAACAGTATCATGTCCTGTTTGTTATCTATTTATTATTCGCCCACAATGGGGAGAGACGGGAGATAGAAATCAATTAGGTACCGCCTCGCTCGGGATTACTTTGTTTTCCCCGATTACACGTGACTTTAAATGTCAAATTAATCATTTTCAATCCTTTATTTCATTCCGGCATCTTGATCGTCAATTGGGGATTGCACTAGTTATGCGAAGGAGCTAACTCTGGGAGAGAGAAAAAATTTATTGCAGAAAGATATTCAAATGAAAAGAAAATGGATTTTATGGAGAGAAAGAGAGAGAGAAATTAAAATTTCCTAAATTTATTAACGTGTACACTTTGCATATCGCTCATCGGACTTTTGCTTCTTGGTAACTTTTTCTTTTACACGGTATCGCAGTGAATATTTAATCGTTCGATCTTTGTTTAATTTAACTTTTAATTTTCTTTTAACGTGATTTACAATATAGGCAGTCTTTAATACTATCCTCTAACCGGAGATGACAATAATGGAGAATTAACGGGCTCTCTCAGAGCCCACAATGGCGGTTAAGTACTTACGGATACATTCAGTTATCGGATTATTCCGGCTAACGGGATTCCACCTCGGCACGTTCCAGGTTGGGAGTGCTCATGGCATGATCATCGGCGTCCATCCAGTGATCGATTTATAGCTTCTAGTTCTACAGGTTAAACGAAACAATATTTAGCCCTTATGTCACTGAACAATACCTACAGGTCCCTACAATTTTAAACCGTGTTAGAACTTTTCTCGACACAAAATATAAAGAGTCTCGGAAATCTTCTAAAATAACGAAAGAATGCTCAACAATTGGTATTCGGATATCTTTACATTGAGGGTGAAAAATTATGCATCCAGTGATTGATTTAAAAATCCTAGTTTCATATGTTAAACAAAACAATGGGTTTGTTCTTTATTGCTGCACTGGTGAACCAGTGCAGACTGTTGCAGTAAGTTAGAGTAAAACAAAATATATTTGTCTCACTTTAACTTATTGCAGTAGTTCATTAATGAAGTAATAAAGAACAAACCCAATATTTAACCTTTCTAACCTAACCTAACCTAGGACAGAAGCCGAAACATTAGGTCTGTTCGTTTTGGCTACACTGGTCACCTAGTTCAGAGATTGTCTTTTTTGCTTGACATTGGAAGAAAAAAGATAACCTCTGAATTAGTGTAGCCAGTGTAGCCAAAACGAACAGACCTATCATTTAATTTTTCTAAACCTATTTTCTCTACTCTCGAAACAAATTATAAGGAGCCTTTCTACTCGGAAATCTCCTAAAATAATGAAAGAATGTTCGATACTCAACAATTGGTATCCGAATATCTTTACATTGATAAAAGGGTGAAAAATTATGCATCCAGTGATTGATTTAAAAATCCTAATGTTATATGTTAAACGAAACAATATCTAACTCTTCTAATCTATAAATTCCTAAAGCAATTTTAAACGTTAAAAACGTATCGGAACTTTTCTCCATCCCCGAAACAAAATACAAAGAGCCTTTGTACTTGAAAATCGCCTAAAATAATGAAAGAATATTCGATGCTCAGCAATTGGTATCCGGACATATCTATACATTTATGAAAGATAACTTCGGAGGGATTAAACTATCTCTTTAAAATCTCAAAAACGAGAAGGACTCGTCCGATGAAATGACCTTTAAAGGCGGTTATCGGGTTGTCGTTTTTTTTTTCGATTAAAGGTATCTCGCTTATAAAGGAAGATACAGCTGCGATCTGTAGGAAACACGAGGAGAATCTCGCAAACGCATCTTCCCTCTATATATACATATACCTTCTCGCTTTCAACCTCCTTCGAGCCAACTTATCGCGCCCACGCCGTTTAATCTATCCGGCCATCTCTATTCGACGCGACGCGACGTTCTATAACGCGAACGCTGTAACAATGACCTTATTCCATAAATTCCAGACATACTCGAGCGCATAAAAATGCCGGCCGTTTATGGCGGAACGCGTACAGAAAGACGGCCTTTCATCGGCTATGCGTTATGTCCAGTTACGGGCCACAACCCTCTTTCAAAGTCATAAGCCCATGTCGGTTTAACCAGTTACGTTGATCCGAAGGGATGATGAGTTGGGGGATGAAGGTCGCGGCAAGTTTTTA